GCTGGCCACACACACACACACACACACATAAATAAATAAAAATTTTTTTAAATAAATAAATAAAAAAGAAAAACTTCACCCCTTCATAGGTCTGGCTTCTAATAGCTACTATTTTCTCTTTCAACAGATCTCTTTAAGATGGACATAGAAGAATGCAATGGCCACTCCTACTTGTCTGGTATGCCTTCTGTGTGTTCCTTTGGATGAGTTGGGTATATATGCCATGTAGGATAGGGCAGCCCAAGCACCCAACCTCTGTGTGACTAACTGTTGGTCAGGGAGCTAACATTCATGCTTGGTCATACTTGGTAGTAGCGTGTAATCATTCTATGATTTTGCATTCCCTAAAACACTAGTTCTATTCCCCAGAATTCTTGTGGGGTAGAGGGAGAGGGAATGGAATAGGAGGGAGGGAAATACAAGTGGCTGCTTTTAGGGGAATGATTTGAAAGGGGCCAGGGAAATAGCACAGTAGAATAAGTGCTTCCCTGGCAAGCGCAAGGGCCTGAGTTCAATCCCCAGTTCTGCAAAAAAAAGAAGGAGAAGGAGAAGGAGAACAAGAATGATTTGAAACAAATAGATGAAAGAGAGTGGGTTCCTTCTCCTGCCCTCTGAGGTTACAAGCCAAACATGGAACTCTGTCCCAGGTAGAAAGTGGAGCAGCATTTCAAATCCCCAAGGCCTTCAGGGGCCACGAGGTTATGTGAATGAGCAAAGTAGACTAGGACAGTATGCAAAAGAGGACAGTGAGGACTATCATGAACTGGCGAACACACATCCCACCTCAAGGAATGACAGCTATTCAGTGTCCACTAGTCATTACCATGTAGGAATGTGTATCTTCCAACTTTTCAAGAGTATTAGAAGTACCCAATTTTGTGCCTCGCGAGTGGCGGGCGTGATAACAAGTCCGCGAGGCGAGCTTGCGGACGCGGGTGGCCCTTGCCTCGCCTGAGTCCTGCCCCTGCGTGGTCCGCCGGGTCGATGGCGCTCCTCAGGGGTGCGTGGAGCGTGCTGAGCGCCCTGGGGAGGTCCGGGGCAGAGCTGTGCGCCGGCTGTGGAAGTAGACTGCGCTCACCTTTCAGTTTTATGTATGTTCCAAGATGGTTTTCATCCACCATGAATGGGTATCCGAAGAAACCTTTGAATTCATACGTTCGCTTTGCTAAAGAAAAGATGAACATAATTAAAGCTCAGAACCCAGATATAAAAGTTACAGAAGTAATGAAAAGAATTGCAGAGCAATGGAAGGAACTTCCTAATGCAGAGAAAAAAGCATATGAAGATGCTTACAAGGTAGAGTTGAAGGCATACCAAGAAGAGATGAAGAGAATTAATGAAGCACTAACTCCAGCTCAGAGAGCATCTTTGGCAGAAAATAAAATACAGAAACGTTTAAAAAGGAAAGAAGTAATAAGAAAGAAAAACCGGGAATTGAACTCAGACCCTTGCACTTGCCAGGAGTTATCAATGCTTGGAAAACCAAAAAAAGCTCGCACAGCTTATAACATTTTTCTGTCTGAATATATTCAGTCCTCTGAAGGTGCTACGATACAGGATAAATGGAAGTCTGCGTATGAAAACTGGAAAAATATGTCTAGTTCTCAGAAGCAAGTATATGAACAGCTTGCCCACGATGATAGAGTTCGTTATTATAATGAAATAAAATCTTGGGAAGAACAGATGATTGAAGTTGGACGAAGTGACGTTGTACGTCGCAAGACCTATCTCCAGAGCAGGAGGATGAAGGAAAAACAAGACTGAATGTGTTGCCAGTGGACAGGCACAGGAACCAGTTGGGTCTCACTATCGGACAGTGTTGTAAAATTAGCAGGAATAATGTCAGCAAACATTTGAATTCAGTTACTTTTTCTTTGTCTCCTAGACTGCTGCCACTTGAAGATACTTTGTGGTGGTAGTTTGAAAACCCAAACAGATGAAAGTTCGTACAGAATTTTATTTTGTGTTTAAGAAGTACTGGGGCTGGGGATCAGAATGATTCAAACAAATGTAGCAGTGAATTATTTACCTTGAATAGGGTAAATCAGTCTGTGAAGTTTTTTACACTGGAAGACAATTATGAAAATAGTGTTCTTATTTCTCATACAATGGAGGCAGGAGTTTCTTTTCAAAACAGTCACAAACTGTGGGAGCCACACTGTTCTGAGATCCAATGGAGCCAGAGCCCTGTGTGGGGACACATGTTACCAACCAGCACGTAGGAGGCTGAGGCAGAATTGACACCAGCTTGAGGCCAGCGTGGGCTACCCAGTGAGTTCAAGGCCAGCTTGGAATGTGAAGGGAGACCCTATCTCAGTAGTAAACAGCCTGACTCTTAGCTAAATCCTAATTCTTAGGTATAAGTCAGAGTATTTAGAATTGATGGTTGTATATGCAAGTGATTGTTTGGTAATAACTTTTTATAAAATGGATGGAGAGACTTAAAACCCTTTTTCTCATCATTTTCCTAAAGTACAACTATGTACCAATATGTATGCATATTGGTTTAATTTGCATAGAATAAAAATTTTCATTTTACATGTTAAAAAAAAAAAAAAGAAGTACCCAATTTTATGAAATAACTCCATTTAAAAATGACTCAGTGGTCCGGAGAGATGGCTCAGTAGAATAAGCGCTTCCCTGGTAAGCACAAGGGTCTAAGTTAAAAAAAAAAAAGACTCAGTGCTAAGTGTGGTGGCATAAGCCTGTAATTCTAGTACTCAGGAGGCTGAAGCATGAGGGTCACTGTGACTTTGAGGCCAGCCGGGGCTACATGATGAGTTCATGGCTGGCCTGAAGTACATAGTGAGATTCTATGGTATCTCAAGTATGACACCTCAAAAAAGCCAAAACAAACAAAAAATGACAATGGAGCCAGATGCGATGATGCACACCTATAATCCCAGCACTCTGGGAGACTAAGACAGAAAGACTGCAGGTTTGAGCCCATACTAGGCAATATAATGATTTAGCAAGATAGTCTCAAGGGAAAAAAAAACCTGGGGATGTAGCTCCGTACAAAGGCCCTGGATTCAATCCCCAGTAGTCCCCACAAAAAAAGACTCAATCCTATAAAATATTTTTATTACTATTTTTTTATTTATGTGTGTGTGTGTGTGTGTGTGGCCAGCCCAGCCCACCAGGGGGCGGGGCGGGCTGGCATATGGTGCTGGGGGATTGAACCGCGGCCTTTGCTTTGCTAAGCTTGTGCTAAGTAGGTGCTTTAGACCACTGAGCCATCTCACCAGCCCCCCTATAAAATATTTTTTAAAAATTCTCCATGAAGCAAATAGAACTTATCATTATCTGTTTTGTTTGTGGGTTTTAGGGTGTTTTGAGGGGGCTTGCTTTTGTCTTTTATTGTTTTTTGTTTTTTGTTTTGCGGAACCAGAGATTGAACTCAGGCCCTTGCGCTTGCCAGGGAAGCGCTTATTCCACTGAGCCATCTCCCCAGCCCCCTGTTTTTGTCTTTTTGAGACAGGGTCTCACTATGCAGTTCAGGCTGGCTTTGGGCTTACTTTGTAGCCCAGGCTGGTCTCAAACTCCCAACAATCCTGCTGACTCAACTTCCTGAGTGCTGGTAATACAGGCATGTGCTACCATGCCTGGCTAGAATGTGCCTATGAGTAGAATTTAGCCAGTTTACACCCACTGGAGAACAAAATAGAGAATCCAGTTCTCATTCCCTCCAGTCCTTTCTCACAGTCTCAGCATGCTACAGTTTTCACACTTGCCAAATACTCTTGGCTGAGGCAGAAGAAAGCATTACCTATTTTGTACGAATGCCTTTTAGGGATTCCACAGTAATCAGGTTTAACAAGCTTAATGAAGTAGAAAGAAATTAGGAACTTTATCCCACTTCTTTTATGAGAGTTCAGGAAAGGGCCTTAGACAGAGAGTTTTGGGGTTTTTTTGTTGTTGTGTTTGTTCTTGTACCAGGGATGAAACTCAAGACTTTGTGCTTGCCGGGTTTGTGCTGCTGAGCTATCTCCCCAGCCCCAGAGTTAATTTTTAGGATGGAAGGACAATTAGTATATGATTATTAGAGATAAGGGAACTCAGAGTTGGGTTTTGATCTGATGAGTATCTCCATCAGAAATACAAGCACCACTGTGGAAATGACCTATAGTTCACTTTTTTCATTCTAAAATGGGACCACTAGGACCTGGGAGATAGCTCAGTGGCATAAATGCCTGCCTGGCAAGTGTAAGGTCCTGAGTTCAGTGCCCAGTACTGCAAAATAAATAAATAAATAGTTAAATAAGGACCAGTGATGGAAATATAGTCATGTGCCAAGAGAGACAGCAAGATAAGGTGCACATACATGAAATGTTGGCTCTGATCCCTTTCCTGGGGTCCTGGGGTTGAATCCAGGGGTGCTCTACCACTGAGCTATATCCCTAGCCCTTTTTATTTATTTTTTATTTTGAAACAAGGTCTTATTAAGTTGTCGAGAATGATCTTGAGGGGCCGGGGAGATGGCTTAGTAGAATAAGCGCTTGCCTGGCAAGCACAAGAGCCTGAGTTCAATCCCTGATTCCACCAAAAAACAAAAAAAAAAAATTAGAATGATCTTGGACTTGCCATCTTCCTGCCTAAACCTTCTGAGTAGCTGGAATTACAGGTGTACACCACCACATTCTGTCCTTTTATCATTTAAGGTAGAAGGAACTGGAGTAAGTAAAGGCGCTCAGTATCTGCCACATGCCAGACAGAATGATGAGGATCAGGTGGACTGATTTAATTGACACAGATTTTAAGCTGGATGTGGGTGTGCACCCCTGTAATCCCAGCACTCAAGAGGCTAAGGCAGGAGGATTGCTGTGAGTTTGAGGCCAACCTGAACCACATAGCAAAACCCTGTCCCAAAGGACAAAAAGAAAAAAGAACATGACTTTATTAGAAGTAAATCCTGGGGGCTGGCGAGATGGCTCAGTGGTCTAAAGCACCTACTTGGAACAGGCTTGGGAAAGCACAGGGACCGCGGTTCGATCCCCCAGCACCACATGCCAGCCAGCCCTGCCCCCTGGTGGGCTGAGCTGGCCACACACACACACACACACACACACGCACACACACAATAAATAAATAAATAAATAAATAAATAAATAAAAGATACTAATGGCAGCTAACTGCCAAAAAAAAAAAAAAAAAGAAGTAAATCCTGGCCCTTCTTAGGAACCCACCAGTCCTCTAACCTCCAGCTCAGTTACACCAATTCACTAGTGAGTACCAAGTAGACTCAGAGCTGCTTTAGTGCTGCAGAGCACACAGAGGGGTAAAACCCAGCCCACGAATGAGAAACTATGAAGGTGGCTGAGGAAGTATCTCATAGAGGTCTTTCCCGGAGACAGGTTATTGGTATAAGTGCCTACCCTGGAGGATGCTGGGTACTAGTGGCAGGTTTCTGAGGCTATCTGCTTCAGTGTACTGTGAAACCAAGCTTTACCTACTTACAGCAGGTTGGCTTTTATTATTTAAAAAATGTCTTCTTCACAGATGGCTTTTGAGTAAAAGTAGGACCCCCAAATCCCTCACCTGTGCTTTAATTCTAGAGGTGAGCAGTGACTTTTAGAGTAAAAAAAGAGAAAGGCAAGGTGAAGGAGCATGAGCTATGAAGAGTGCCCCCTGCAGGACTGGTATGGCTTCAACACCCCTTGAGGGACATCTGAGAGCCCATGAGCAACACACCTCCCTGGGCTGACAGGGGCAGGGGCGGGCTGTCGTGTGCCACCCTTCTGCAGCACACTTGGACCATCTGTTTGTCATCACACTCCTCCTCTATGCCTGGGGGGCCACTGGCACAAGCCACTTGATGCAGGATTAGCTCTCCCATCTTCAAAGAGATATTACCATCTCTCAGACCTGATGCAAAAATTCTATTTTCCCCCTCTCCCTTTCTTTTATAAAGATACAGGTCATTCCCACAGGAACAAAGGGAAGAAAAGAGTCCAGTAATCTACAACATAGATCTCCAATATCCCTTCAAACCTATTTGTGCAGTGAACTGACTGAGCAACAAAGTCCCAAGCTTTCTGGTGCTATGAGATGTGGAAGAGAACCTTAGGAGAAAAGGATCCGGGTGGGCAGCCCAAAGTTTCATGGCCCCTCCTACCCCCAAATTCCTGGAATCAGAAAATGTAGTCTTCCAAAGTAGGTCAGCTCAGCAGTGAGCAGCTTCTCTGGAAGGGAAGGGAGCAGAGGCCTCGTCCTGATAGAAGGCAGATTCATCCAGGCCTGCCGCTGCTGGAGCCCCAGGGGCACAGGAGGGAGAGGACTTTAGGAGACTTGTACTGGCCTTTTTGCCTGGGATCTGAAAGGACTCAGGGCCACCAAGTACCACTACCCTGACATCACACTGTGCAGAGTCCTCTGGCCCCTGGGAAAGGGGCCCTCTGGCCCCAGACCTAGAAAGCACCTCCCTCCAGGAGGAGGGAAGAGACTGCTGGTGCCTGTCAGAGAGCCTTGAAGCTGCCCCAGGTCCTGGGCCCCATGACCTCTGGGGCCTTGGCTTACCCACTAGCAGAGGGTTGGACCTTCCCGGGCCCCCTGCTCCCTTTCTCCCTGCCCACAGGCGCCTACCTCCCTCTCTCTCTCTCTCTCTCACACACACACACACACACACACACACACATACACACACACACTTGCTTCTCTCAAGCATTTGTTGTGCAGTTCCTCTTTGTCTGCTGGGCAGAAGGGCAACGGCATCTGCCTCCCCCTCCCTATGCGCCCCCTTCACTGTCTTGGAAGAGACGCTGTAGCCTGGCACACACCCCCCCCGCCACCCCCCCCCACATACACATTTCTCCGGCCCCCTCCCCAAGCACACCCAAGCGCCAAACGTTCTCATCTCCTTGCTCTCCCTCGCTCTCCCTCTCTCTCTCCGTCAGACACACACTCTCTTTCAGCACACATACACCCTGGCTGAGCTGTTCTTGCTGGCTGCAGCCGTGGGCCCCTGCTCACCGTGCCGCTGCCGCTGCCTGCGAAATGACGGCGGTTCCCCTCACTTCCAGGAATCCACGCTTCCTGGAAGGTGAGTGGCTGGGCTCACCCCTGCCTGCCACCGAGACGCAGACATGCATACACCACCCGCACTCCCTCGCCGTTTCCAAGGCGGCGGCCGCGTTCGCACCCCAGGGTCTCACCGGCAAGGGAAGGATAATGTAAGTTCAGGCAGAAGACGGCTAGCGGAGGGGGGAAGGGGGTGCCAGGGCTAGGGAGCCAATTCAGTACAACTCCCAAGCCTGAGGAGAGGAGGAGATGGGGGGCTGTGTGTAGCGGGGGAGGGGGCGTTCCTCTTTACACTTGCGGAGGATGGGAAAGGGTGTTTGGTGTTGCTAAGGAAAGACGGTGACTTGGACAGTGGGAGCTTGTGGTGACATCTTGATTAGGCCTTGGGGACAGAGGTAGAGCTGCCTGGGGTGAAATGCCCAACAGGACTGGGTGGGAGGGGGTAGTAGGGAATTGAGGTAAGGAAAAGGAGCCCTGCCAGCAGATGCCTCAGCCTGGACCTGAGATCGGAGGAGCCCAAGCCTTCTCCCCACAATAGAGCAGGGGATGGGCGTCTTTCTGTGCTCGTGTACACACTGTGCCTGCTAGCAGGAGAGCATCCTGCTACTTGGAGCCCACAGTCAAGGAGGGAGAACAGTGAAGATGCAGAGAAGTGTGCAGGCTCCAGGAGCTCAGGGCTGTTTCCTAGAGGCAGCCACTCAAGGGATCAAGGAAGGGCAGCTCGCTGGAGGGCTGGTCTCCTTCAACATGTGAGGCACATGTAGCCGGAGCACTGCCTCCCAGTTTCTTCCCTCCTGCTTTTCTGCCCTTTACCCAGCTCCCAATTCCTCCAATGTGAACCTTGTGATTTGGCTTTGCCCTCTGGGGGCTCAGCTAATCTATGATGACTTTGACCAATAAAATTTCCGTGGGACCTGAGAGCTGACTAAATTCTTGGCTTTGACAGTGTGGGATTTCTTGTGAGTCCCAGGCATTTGAAATTCCCTCACTGGCGTTTCTGGGGCTGAGAGAGGAATTGCTGAATTTCCTAAATCTCACTCTAGTCCCCTACTCTCTCTGGCTAGGACTCAAAATCCCTTTAGCCCATAAAGATTTTCTGGTCCCTAAAACATTCATTCTTAATGTTTTAGTCCCATGAAAGTAGACTTGAGCCTGTTTTCCCTCTTACCTTTATCCTAGGGAGGAGAACAGCATCAAAGAGCCTCTGGAGTTACTGGTGTGCCTCGAGGCTCCTGATTTTTCACCTATTTCAAGGCCTAAATTGGGAGAGCCACAAGGATGCTCACCCCTCATTGTCCCAACATGTCCCTTTAAGCATATTTTCCCCTGGATAATAAGCCCCCTAGCTCCACCAGGCAGCTCAGGCCCTAGTAAGGTGGCACCAGTGATAGATTTCCAGGAAACTCACTCATCCTTTTAGGGTCAAGGCCTCAGCACCAGGGTCCAAAGACCTGTTCTTCCCCACTGCTAACATCAAATGATGTGGAGCAAGTCAGTACTAACATTTGAAAAGGAGTAAGAAGATGCCCTTTTAACCTTAGTAAATCCCACACTTAGTTGAAAGGACATATTTTAAAATGAAATCTGAGTCCACAAGGCTTAACTCACAATCCTGAGATGCTCCCTTCATGATATGCGTGCAGTTCTGATTTCAGGCAACTTTTTTAGGAAATCATTGCTCAACTGAAGAGCCCCAGCTGGGAAAACTCAGATTCAAGCCATAAGGCTTTTTCTATAGATTGTGAAGAAATTTCCTCAGGCTTTAATGGGATAGAATGGGGGAAATGGGACTTTTAGAAGAGGATATGAATGGGAAATGGTCCCAAAGTCCTGAGTGGTTGTTTTCTTCCCACTGACCAAAGCTGGAGAGGGATCCCTCAGGAGGGTGTGTTCCGGATTTCTTGCCTCAGGCCCAAGACTCCAACCATTTTATAATGGAATCTTTATTTTGTGAAAGTAAGTATGTACATAGTTGGGCAATTGGGTAAAATACTAATAGGTGGACCTAGGGATGAATTCTAGGGTTGCTCGTCTCTCTTCTCTGTCTCTCTCTGTCTCTCTGTCTCTGTCTGTCTGTCTCTCTGTCTCTGTCTCTGTCTCTCTCTCTCTTCTCTCTCTCTTTCTCTTTCTCTCTCTCATATTTAGGCCTGTGTGCATACATCCATGCATGTTCATAGATAATATAGAGGTTATGGATATGTTTATCCCAATTAGGTATGTTCTATTTATGTATATCTACATATGTGATATGTGTCTGTATGTTTGTCTAGATGTGTTTCTATTTCACACATATTTGTGCAGAAGATTGTGGGGAGGAGGGATTTTTTTAAAAACACAGTCATTTTAAGGTATGTTATCTAATTTTTAAAAAAACCTTATACTCAAAAAATATTTTACAATGCAATTTTTAACAAATTAAAATGAGTAAGTTGAGGTTAAACATCATTTAACTTCCAAGGAAATACCAAATAGTAAATACATGATTAGAATCAAATCACTAGAAAGGTTTCCAGGGTAGTCCAATTTTTACTGAATTTAGAAAGTCCAGTTGGGCATGTGCATGCCTATGATCCCAGCATTATGGTGGCTGAAGTATAGAGTAAGTTCAAGGCCAGCCGAACTACATAGTGAGTTCAAGGCCAGATGGGAGAACCTGTCTCAAAAAAATAATCCAGTAGGCCCACCTCTCCTCACTAGAGGTAGTATCTCCCAGTTGGCCATTTAAATGGTGGCTACAGACATGGCACTCACTGTCTGTAACCAGCTCCCAGCTACAGCACCACCAGCTGTGCAACCTCAGACAAGTAACATAATCGCTTGTGTGTCTCCTCATCTGAAAAGCTAATGTTAGCACACATGTCAGAGGATTGTAGTGAAGCTCAAAGGAGATAACTGAAGCGCAGAGAACAATGCCTGGTACACAGTCAGCACCCTTCAAATATTAGCTGCTATCCTGATTATTACTGATATCATAATTAGATTCAGGGATAATTTCAGCTGCCCTTCCTGCTCCAAAGCTGGTAGTGGGGGCTCCAGAGCACAGTGGTAGGGAAGAACCTCTGTCCCAAGCCCTCCCTCTCTCAGGCCTCGTTCTTTCCAGGCTGGCCCGCCCAGCCCCAGCCCTGCTTCCTGCCTACGTCAAGCAGTGATGCTCTTCCCATCAGGCCTACATAAAGGTAGGGTAGGCTAGGCCCAGCCACTGAGCTCACGGAAGTCAAGCACTGGGCTGGTGGGGGCATAAGGTATGGCACTAGAATTTAGCAATGCCTTGGATATGGCTATGGAATAAATGTTTGTGAAATATACCTGAATTTTTTGAAAGCTTAGTCATGGACATTCGACGACGCCAACTCCAGCTTTACCTGCCCTCTTGTTCTCTCCTCCAAGGTAGCGGGGACTCATCTCTGGAGAAGGAGTTCCTCGGGGCCCCAGTGGGGCCCTCAGTGAGCACCCCCAACAGCCAGCACTCTTCTCCCAGCCGCTCCCTCAGTGGTAAGTGCCACCCTGTACCCTACCTCACTCTGCACACTAGGCACCCCATTTTTGTTTGCCAATCAAGTCTCTGCTGACTGGCAGCCATTTCCCCATTGTCACCGCCCTCTGGTTTCCTGCTCAGTTTCTAAAATTGCAAAGAAGCTCACTGTCTAGGGCTTTCATGGCTTCTTAGAAAACAGTGGATAGTCACTGCCAGACAAGGACGGGAACTAGAAGGGGCATGGGTAGCACTGATAGAAAAGCTCCAAAAAGAAATCCCTGCTGGGCGTGATGGCACATACCTGTAGTCCCAGCACTTGGGAGGCAGAGGCCAGTTTGGGCTGCATAGTGCGTTCAAGGTCAGCTTGAACTAGTGAGACCCTCTCTCTGGAAAAGAAAAAAAGAAAGCTGGAGAACCAGGTAGATAAAAATGCTCATTAGGTGGAGGAAACAGAAAGAAGGATGTCCCTGAATCCCCACACACATTCTCCCACCCAGATAGGGTCCTCCTGAAAGCCTCCTCCTTCAGCGGGCTCTAGAGTTGTGACATTCTCCAAATGGTTGGAATAGCCAGGAATGTAGGTCAGAGCTGGAGCCAAGCCTTCTCCTCAATAGCTCCTCCTCCCGTACCCCTCTTCAGATAGGGGGTTCATTCTTATGACTGGAAAGATAATGGAAGCCATGACTATCTTTCAGTTTTGATCTTTCTTTAGCCAGTGGTCCCTCTTCAGCCTTCTGAGGGCTGTTTTCCTGCCACCTTTCCTTGCTGGCTTCCTGCCCAGGGCCAAGGCAGACATCTTAATGACAAAAGGTTAGAGAAAAGGCTCCCTATACTCCTCCTCTCCTTAGTGACAGAAGATATCCCCTGTATCCCAACTTTATTCTCTTGGAGCCTATTTGTGGGTGAGAGAGAAGGAGAAGGTCTCCAGGTTCTAGCAGGACTCTGGCCTCATCTCTGGGGATAAGATTGTCAGTATCAGGGCCTGGAGACACCATTTCATACTTGAGGAGTGTTGTTCCCAACTGTGGACAGCTCCCCCTTTGCCTGTTTGTATTCTAAACACCATCCTGCCCTCCAGCCAACTCCATCAAGGTGGAGATGTACAGCGATGAGGAGTCGAGCAGACTGCTGGGGCCAGATGAGCGGCTCCTGGAAAAAGACGACAGTGTGATTGTGGAAGATTCGTTGTCAGAGCCCCTGGGCTACTGTGATGGGAGTGGGCCAGAGCCTCACTCCCCTGGTGGCATCCGGCTGCCCAATGGCAAGCTCAAGTGCGATGTCTGCGGCATGGTCTGTATTGGGCCCAATGTGCTTATGGTGCACAAACGTAGCCACACGGGTGAGTAAGCCAGAGGGTTCCTAGAGGAGCTCAGGGTGGTGGTGAGAGGCAGAGCAGTGCTGGGACAGTGGCAGTAAGAGGACTAGATAGGAGGCCACATAGCAGCGGGGAGCCCTCAAAAGGGAAGAGTCTGCTGGCACATTTTCTAGCTGACCACAAAACAGAGGGCTGGTTGTGATGGTACACGCCTTAATCCCAGCACTCAGGAGGCTGAGGCAGGAGGATCACCCTGAGGTCTAGGCCAGCCTGGACTGCATAATGAGACCTTGTCTCCAAAAAAAAAGGAGTGGGGAGAATGGGATTTGGACTCCCCTCAACATCCATACTTCCCTGATTCCTTAGCTGTTGTCACAAGAAAGGCTAGTATTTTTCTTGAGATGTGAGGGGATCCTGGTGTGGTAGTGCACACCTATAATCCCAGGATTCCAGGAGACTGAGGTGGGAGTATCACAAATTCAATCCCAGTCTAGGCAATTTAGCAAGACCATGTCTCAAAATAAATACAGAAGGGCAGGAATGTATGAAGATGCTGATTCAATCCCAAATACTGGAAAGAAAATAAGAAAGAAAGAAAAAAAGAAGGGGGGGATATGATATAGAACAAAAGGGATCTTTGAGGCTGGGAGTGTACTTCAGTGGAGAGAAGGTATATGATGCTCAGCAAGAAAGAGGCCTTGGGCTTGATCTCCAACACCTCCCCCCCCAAAAAAAAAAAGCCAGACATGGTAGCTCATGCTTTAATCCCATATAATATCTAAAGGAGGTGTCCGGTGAGGTAGTTCAGCAGACTAAGCACCTGCTTAGGCAAGTACAGGGACCAGGGTTCAATCCAAAGCATCATATTGCCACAGTGGGTCCACCCCAAGGCAAGCTGAACCAGCCACCCTGACTGGGCCTGGTGGCACAGGCCTGTAATCCCAGTGCTGTGGAGGCTGAGACAGGAGAATCACTAGAAGTTTGAGCTATGTAGACCCTGTACCAAATACATTAAAAAAAAAAAAGAACAAAAAAGGAATACATTAAATATCTATGTATATCGATCTATCTATATATGGGAAACAGAAGCAGGAGGATCACAGATTCAAAGCCTGAGCAATTTCGCAACATCCTGTCTCAAAATAAATATAAGGAGTTGGGTTTGTAGCCCAGTGGTAGAGCACCTCTGGTTTTCATCCCTTGTACTGAGAAAGAGAAAGAAAGATCAGAAGGGGTAGGGCTCTTGGGCATTGTTTTGTTCTTCTTTTTTATTATTTATTTATTTATCTATTTGATACAGGGTCTCGCTATGCAGCTCAGACCCATAGTGATCCTCCTATCTCAGCCTCCCCAGCACTGGGATTGCATGGCATGTGGCACAGAGAATTGAACCTGGGTCCTTACACTGGCCAGGCAAATGCTTAGACCGTTGAGCTATCTCCCTAGCCTATTGTTTGGTTCTTTCATAACTTGGGAGAAACAGACAGACAAGATCTATCTATCTATAGAAACAGAGAGAGACCAAGACTTCCTTTCCACAACCTACTCAGACTTTGATCTCTTAAGGCGGAGGGGACCCTGTGATGCTCAGTTTAGGATAACTACCTTTTGGCCCAGTGTTCTGGGGCTGGTACTTCTTTCCTACCATGAATCTCTTATCCACATCTTCCCAGGGTAAGACCCTTCCCTAGTGGTCTTTAAAAAGCAGCATTCGTGTTTGGGGCTCATTTCAGCCCCTCAGCCATGTGTTCAGGTGGGAAGCTAGGTTCAGTCTCTAGGTGGGCTGGGGAGATAGCTCAGTGGAATAACTGCTTGCCTGGCAAGTGCAAGGTCCTGAGTTTGATCCCTAGTACCACCAAAAAAAACCAAAAAAACAAAAAACAGTCTCCAATGTTCCTTGTCCCCAGCTCTCTAGGATCTGTTCTTTCACTTGCAGGTGAGAGGCCCTTCCACTGCAACCAGTGCGGTGCCTCCTTCACCCAGAAGGGCAACCTGCTGCGCCACATCAAGCTGCACTCTGGAGAGAAGCCCTTCAAGTGTCCCTTCTGCAACTACGCCTGCCGCCGGCGTGACGCCCTCACGGGCCACCTCCGCACACACTCAGGTCAGCACCCACCCAGCTGGGGAGGAGACAGTGGGCCCAGGGACACCCAGTAGCCAGTGCTCAGCAGTGTCCGCACTGAGGAGTTACAGGGTCTGTCACTCTGGACAGAGGAGCTTTCAAAGCAGATCTAGCCCTGCCTCCCTAACCCTCCTCTAGGAGGTGGGTCGCAAGAGGGGCCTGGAGCACTCTTTCTTATTTATTTAGCTGCTGCGGCTTAAACCCAGGCCCTTCCCACCAAGCTACAGCCCCTGCCCTTTTTTTTTTTTTTTTTTGAGACAGGGTCTTGCTAAGTTACTGAGTGCCCAGGCTGGGCTCAAACTTGCCTCAGCTTCTCAGAGTGCTAGGATTACAGGTATGTGCTACCACCCCAGCTTTGGGGGCTTTTTGTAGGGTAATTTACACTCTCACATGAAGCAAAAAGAACATGGGTAGTATTGTTTTGGTTTTTTCTTTTTTCTTCTTTCTGTTTTTTATTTGTTTTCGAGTTTTTTTATGATTTTTTTTTTTTTTTTTTTTTGCGGAACTGGGGATTGAAGTCAGGCCCTTGCACTTGCCAGGGAAGCACTTATTCCACTGAGCTATCTCCCCAATCCCTGTTTGTTTTTTGAGACATGATCTCACTATACAGTTCTGTATGACCTTAAATTCACTATGGAGTGCAAACTTATTACATCTGTCCTCCTGCCTCAGCCTCTTGACTTCTGGAATTATAGGCATGCACTACCATGCCCAGCTGACTTTTGTTCTTGAAGATTGTGATAATGCCAGTGCCATTGGTTGTTTCCCCATCATCCCCTGCTTCTGAGCCCCTTGGAAGGCCCTCATCACACTTACCTGCCCTAGGCCCACACCTGTCACTACCTTCATCTGCATCTCCTAATACCAGGCATCTTAGATGACTACAAGCCATCCTCTCCTCTTTTTACTGGTTTCTATAAACATTCATGATCCTTTGAAATAGGGGAAAGGGAAAAAGAGTATCTCATTTCTTTCGTCTATCCCAAGAGATTAGAGGCTGGGGAGATGGCTCAGTGGAATAAGCGCTTCCCTGGCAAGCTCAAGGACCTGAGTTCAATCCCCGGTTCTGCAAAAAAAAAAAACCAAACAAAAAAAAACACCACCAAGAGACTGTCACTTTGCTGGAAGTAGCAGCAACTCTAGAGTACTTAGGGATCAGTCTCTGGACCAGTGCTAGGGAACTGGAGTAACAAGTTTTTCTAGCTCAGGCAGTCTATATGAATCAGTATCTGTTGGAAGCAGCTGGACAAATGGCACTTGTCAGGCATTTTACTAAATTTTAGGCTTCTGACTTGAACTTGGGAGGACGCCAAGAGCTGAGCTGGCAGGAAGGAGGGAGCTGAAGAATGAGAAAAGGCAGGAAGAGAAGAAGAGGGGAAAGAATGAGTAGGGTCTATCCTCAGAAATTTTTCCTGGCTGTTTTTCTTTTCCTATATTCTCCTGGGCCAAAACTTAAAGGGACAGAGCAATCACTTTATCACCCTCTACTGCCTCTATCCGCAAACCTTGCTCCAGGTTTCGCACCTTATAAATTGGACCTCTTTCTCTCCATAGAGGGACAAAGAGAAAGATCACTGTTGGCTCAAGCCCTAACTTCTACAAACATTTATCTGTGTCCCCTCGTGTGATCCTCCTAGCAACTCCAAGATCAGGGGGATTAATCCCATTTTATTGGAAAGAAAACTGAAGCTTCTGGAGGTGGGCGGGATAATAGGCCACACTGCTACCCTGCATAGCTGGGCACCCATGAAAAGCCAATGTTAGAGATCCCTCCGTCTTTTTCTCTAAAAAGGGGTGGCTCCCCCTGCTGGTATGCAATAAGGATAGGTTGGCTGTCATAATTGTTCATTTTTCTTTCTTTTTTGGGGGGGGGGCGTGGAACCAGGGATTGAACTCAGACCCTTGCGCTTACCAGGGAAGCGCTTATTCCACTGAGCCATCTCCCTGGCTCCATAATTGTTCATTTTTATTTTTATTTTTATTTTTTGGCACCAGGAATTGAAATCAGGACCTTGAGCTTGACACTTGAAGCAGACACTTGTGCTGCTGAGCTATATCTGCAGCCCCAGCGTTGTTGCTAATAAGGTCAACAGGGTAGATTTTTACACATTGTCCTATAGATTAATAAGAGCAAAAGCAGACACCAGCATACAGTTAGGTCCCATCTCTGTGAGCTGCTTCCTGTAAACCCTCACTAAGGAAAAGGAGGATGGAGAGTGCTTCTTCTCGCAGGTGTTAAATCATTTGTCCAAGGGTCTTGGGTGGCTAGAGAACCTGTGTTCATCACCCTGAAACACTGGGGTTTGCAGAGCAAGAGCAAAATGCCAGTGGGTTGAGTCAGTCGAGGCTCAACCTTGGCATGATGAGAGAGTGAGTAACAATTACCAGCCTCCTAGAGACACCTCCTGTCTCCTTACTCAGTAGTGCCAAGAAACATAAAATCTACAATACCTGTTCTTCACTTTTTCTCTCCCCTCTCAAATATCTCACAAGAGTTGTTTTTAGAGCCAGGTCTGTTGGTATAGGCTTGTAATCCCAGCTGAGGCAGAAGATCATGAGTTCAAGGCCAGCCTGTTTTTTCTTTTTCTTTTTTCTTTTTTGGCAGAACCGGGGATTGAACTCAGGCCCTTGTGCTTGCCAGGGAAACACTTATTCTACTGAACCATCTCCCCAGCCCCCTGTTTTTTCTTCAGCAGAAACAAGATCTACATAACCCATTTAAAAAAAAACAAAAAACAGCCAGAGAGATAGCTTGGTGGCATAAGCCCCTGGCGGCAAGAGCAAAGTCCTGAATTCAATCTCCAGTACCAAAAAATAAACAAACCAAAACTTGGTGTTCTCTTCCTTTTAGTCTTTTCCTTTATTTTCTTTTCTGTTCTTTTATTCTCTTTCTCTTTTCAAAATCTCTGTCAGTGGTGGCTTTTCTGGTACTGTCTTGATATTTCAGTGTAGAGAAACCAAAAATAAGAAAACCAGGCACATGTTGGAGGTAAAAACACAAGAAAAGGTCAATGAAAACTACCCCACCCCACATCGGCAAATCTAAGGGCCCTCATTTCTGTCACCCCAGCCCATCAATTTCCCCTCAACCAAAGCAAATAAATTCAGTACCAAAAAATCCCCTTGTCTGATAAACAGCACTTAAACCCGCCTGCCACATGGAAAGGTTAAACCACAGTCTGGGCCTAGGCCATGAGGTCCTTGGGTGGGGCCTGCCTGCATGCCTGCCTGCCAGCCTGCCAGGGGCAGTCCCTGGCAAAGTCCTTTACTCCTCACTTATCTTGAGAAGTCATTTATCTAGGGCCCCAGGACCTGTACTCTGCTGTATGTCCTGGGTTTTCCTCACTCCATAGCTACGCGTTGTCCATCTTTCCTAAGTTTGGTTCATCTGTCCTTTGTTGGAAGTAAAGTTCAAGAAGAGAAGAGAAGCTGAAGAATTCACTTTTTTTTTTTTTTTTTTTTCCAGAACCAGGGATTAAACTTGGGCCCTCGTGCTTGCCAGGCAAGCGCTTAGTTTACTGAGCCATTTCCCTGGCCCCTGAAGAATTCACTTTAGTAACATTCTTTCCTCCCCATGTTAGCACTCATTTGCTCCTGGATGATTCTGCAGAGCTCAGGCATAGGACAAAGTAACTCTGATGCTCTCTCTCCTCCAGTCTCCTCTCCCACAGTGGGCAAGCCCTACAAGTGCAACTACTGTGGCCGCAGTTACAAACAGCAGAGTACCCTGGAGGAGCACAAGGAGCGATGCCACAACTACCTACAGAGTCTCAGCACTGAAGCCCAAGCGTTAGCTGGCCAGCCAGGTGGGGCTGTGGGCAGTACTGTGGGCGTGCTAAGGGGAGGAGGGCCAGAGGAAGTGCGGGGCAAGGTGAGTCCAACACCTCTTCCCACAGAGAGCCTCGGCATGTGGAAATCTACCAATCACCCCATCTGAAGTACCCCAACTGGTATAGGGCAGAGCCCTATAGCAGGTGCTGTGAGATCTAGAGGTAGACAAAGCTTGAGTCTGTATCCTCAGACTAATGTGAGGGAGAATACAAGGAATACAAAAGCAAGGATCAACTATCTAGTTGTCCCTCAGTGGTGTGGAACGTTGTTGGGATAGGCTTTAGTTAGGGTAAACAGAGTCCAGTTTCCCAGGCATTAGGTGGATTGTCCCTTGGCTACTGACCTGCTGGATTTCTCTAGACAAAGATCGCTGGGCCAGTGCTGTTCCTGCTCAGCTCCTACTCCCTGTCCCCACCTCCCTCCCACCAGGTGATGAGATGCGTGACCTGGAGATGGTGCCAGACTCCATGCTGCACTCAGCATCCGACCGGCCTACTTTCATTGATCGGCTGGCTAATAGCCTCACCAAACGCAAACGTTCCACACCTCAGAAGTTTGTAGGTAAGAGTGAAATCAGCTCTAAGATACAGCCCAAATAAATCTGAGCTCTGGTTCTAAGGCCAGAGATTTGGGTCTAGAAATTTGATGTAGGGAAGGAAAACAGCTTGGCAGTTTCTGGTGCTTAGAATCTTCCCCAAGAACAGAAGGAAAGTGAGCGGAGAAGCACATTGTGAGGACCCATATGGTAGTTGTAAGAGGAGGTGGTCAGAGCTTGGGCTCTCCCCATTTTTAAGTATAGCAAGGACTTCAGTCCGATCACTATGTGGGTTCTCAGAGAAGGTGGACCCTCCAAGCAGGAGCAAACATGGCTCTGCCATCTGGGGCTGGTATTAGCTAAGAACCTGGAGCTTCTTGGAACCTGCTGAAGGAGACATTCACAGAATGAGTAGCTGAGACTGCGTCTTCCGGTTATTAGAGCCTAGAGTGAGGGAGCAACCACATAGAGGACGTGACTTCAGGGAAGACAAATAAAGTATAGCAAGTAATGTTTGGGAAGGCAGGGGTGAAGCTCAGTGGGAGAGCATGTGCTTAGCGTATGTGAGGTCCTGGATTCAATCCCCAGCACCAATAATAACACACAGCCAGGCTCGGTGGCGTGCCCTATAATCCCAGCATTTATGAGGCAGGACAATTGCTGAGAGTTTGAGACCAGCCTAAATTACATGGTGGGGGCGGGCGAGAAAGCTCAGCTGACTAAAGTGCCTGTTTAGGCAAGTACAGGGACCTCTTTTGATCCCCAGGCACCACATGCCGCACCAGCCCCCAGGGCAGACTGAGTTGGCCACATAAAAATTAATTAATTAATTAATTACAGGGCCGGCCAGATAGCTCAGCAGTAAAGCACCTGCTTAGGGAGGCACAGGGACCAGGGTTAAATCCCAGGCATCCTGTGCCAGCCCTGCCCCTGGGGCATGCTGAGAAGGTGATTGAGACTGGGCGTGGTGCACCTATAATCCCAGCTCTTGGGTGGCTGAAAACAGGAGGTTCACTACAAATACAACTGTGTAGTGAGACCCTGTAGACCCTGTACTAAATACATTTTTAAAAGTTTAAAAAAAAAAAGCTGGAGAGATGGCTCAGTGGAATAAGCGCTTCCCTGGCAAGCGCACAGGTTTGAGTTCAATCCCCGGTTCCGCCAAAAAAAAAAAAGAAAAGAAAAGAAAAGAATAAATAAATTACATACTCAGTAGGATAAGTGCTTGACTGGCAAGTGCAAGGATCTGAGTTCAGTCCCCGGTTCTGCCAATAAATAAATAAATAAATAAATAAATAAATAACATAGTGAGTTTAAGATCAGTCTAAACTACATAGACAGGGGCTGGTAAGATGGCTCAGTGGTCTAAAGCACCTACTTAGAACAAGCTAAGCAAAGCAAAAGCACAGAGACTGCGGTTCAATCCCCAGCACCACATGCCAGCCAGCCCCGCCCCCTGGTGGGCTGAACTGGCCACACACACACTAAATAAATATAAATAAAGTTTAAACTACATAGACAATGCCTTAAATAATAATACTGATAATGTCAGGCACAGAAGCACATGCCTACAATCTCAGTAATTTGAGGCTAGCCTGGCAACTTAACAAGATTCTGTCCAATAATAATAGTAATAATAATAACAACAACAACAGGAGGCAGCCAAATAGCTCAGCAGATTAAAGTGCCTGCAAGCAGGTGCAGGGGCCAGGGGTTCAGTTCCTAGGCCTGCCATGCCCATCCTGCTCCCTGGTCACACTGAGACAGTAATTGACACTGGGCATGGTGGCATGCGCCTGTAATCCCAGCTCTTGGGAGGCTATAAACAGGTGGATTACTACGAGTCCATCTAGTAGACCCTTTAGGGGTATTTTAGACCATTCCCTAAAATACTAAAAATTAAAAATTAAAAAATGATAATAATACAATAGAATTTAGGGGAATTTAGAATTCTTCATCCCGTCCTACTGAGACTACCTTCTCCACAGGTGAAAAGCAGATGCGCTTCAGCCTCTCTGACCTCCCCTATGATGTGAACTCAGGCGGCTACGAGAAGGATGTAGAGCTGGTGGCACACCATGGCCTGGAGCCTGGCTTTGGAGGTTCCCTGGCCTTTGTGGGTGCAGAGCATCTGCGTCCCCTCCGCCTTCCACCTACCAACTGCATCTCAGAGCTCACACCTGTCATCAGTTCTGTCTACACCCAGATGCAGCCTCTCCCTGGCCGACTGGAGCTTCCAGGATCCCGAGAAGCAGGTGAAGGACCTGAGGATCTGGGGGATGGAGGGCCCCTCCTCTATCGTGCCCGAGGCTCCTTGACTGACCCAGGGGCCTCCCCCAGCAACGGCTGCCAGGACTCCACAGACACAGAGAGCAACCATGAAGATCGGGTTGGGGGGGTGGTGTCCCTCCCTCAGGGTCCCCCGCCCCAACCACCCCCCACCATAGTGGTGGGCAGGCACAGTCCTGCCTATGCCAAAGAGGACCCCAAGCCACAGGAGGGGTTACTGCGGGGCACCCCAGGCCCCTCCAAGGAAGTGCTCCGAGTGGTGGGCGAGGGCGGTGAGCCCGTGAAAGCCTTCAAATGTGAACACTGCCGCATCCTCTTTCTGGACCATGTCATGTTCACCATCCACATGGGCTGCCATGGCTTCAGAGACCCTTTTGAGTGCAACATCTGTGGCTACCACAGCCAAGACCGGTACGAGTTTTCTTCCCACATTGTCCGGGGGGAGCATAAGGTAGGCTAGCAACCTCTCCCCCTGCCCTTATTCTGCCACTCTACTGCCCCCTACAGGTGTCTAGCTCTGTCCCCACCACACCCCAAGCAATTTTTCCTAATGGCCCACCCAAAGGTCATCTGACCTCCCATGTGACCCTGACCCTCCTCACCCTTTCTTCTCCTCTTCCCTCACCAACTTAGGTATTATGATGAAACATGCCTTTTATTTCTCCTTTTTCTCTCACCCCAGCACACTGAGTTATTTATTAGTCACTTTTTCTTTTGCCTTTTTTTACTTATAGCTGTCCCTTGCCTCTTCCCTCACAGTTCTCCTCTAGGCTTCTTTCTATGCTAGGCCTAATTTTTTTCCTCATTGATCTAGCATCCTCTAACAGCCCCAGGGATCAGAAGCTCCTCTCCACAGGAAGAGACTTAGTGCTTCTTGCTTTAATTCTTGCCATTTACTTTATCCAGTTCTTCAGTTTTGATGCTAATACCTCCCAGTAGCCCCACCTCAGCTCTGTGGCATTATATCTCCTCTCTGGGACCCCTCAACCTGGTACTATCCATACCTCTCGTGCCCTCTCACTTCAGGCAGCTTGCACTATTCTTAAATGAAGAATTTCCTCATTGGAAATAGGAGGAGCTGAAGAAATTCTCCCTAGGCACTGTGGGACTGAGGGCCTTCTTGAGCTCCCTAAAGCCTACCTTTAGGATCTCCCTGTAGGATGTGCTACAGCTCTTCCTTCTCCCCACCCACCCACCCGTCACCATTCTAGCCTCTAGAGCTGGCCACTCACCTCAGTGGCAGCTTTCCTCTCCTTGGAGTGCCCCATTTTATATTCTCAGGGGCCAAGGCTATTTCTACGACCCACTGTCTCCGACATACTGGGAGTCTCAGGTGCCTAACAGAGTCAGGGCATCGGTAGGGGTGAATAAGATCTCTCCCCTACACTTCCCAAACTCCTTCACTCTTGTGACCTTCCTGGGCTCTCTGGAACTCCTCAAGTCCCTGTCCCATGGCTAACTGGGTTCCTGCCTGAGCGGAGGATCTCTCAGCCCTTTCCTCATGCTGCCTTCCTCCTCTCCTCCCAGTGAGTCACCTTCTCGTTCCTGGACTGTGGGCCCTGTTTGTACCATCAGTGGCAGGAAGAAAAGGGTTTGTCTTTTTGCTCAGTATAACCAAAAATAATCCCAGGATGAACAAGGCCACGTGCTGCTCACCCATCATGCCCGCAGTCCTCTGAATGAGGACTTCTCTGCCCTCCCACACTCAGCTCAGACCCAGGCAGGAGGCCGTGCTTCTCCCATGCTGCGGAGCCTGGCTGTCTGCTCACTGCAGATTCTATTCGGAAACCCAGGACTCAGGAGAGGGGAAGGAGGAGACACAACTCCACCACAAGGGAGGTCTCTTTCTACAGAGTTCCCTGCCCATGGCCAGGGCCATCCCACTCTCTGCTTCCTTGAGATTCAAACCAAAGGCTGTTTTTCTATGTTTAAAGAAAAAAAAAAAAGTAAAAACCAAACATAACACCTCACAAGTTATAACTCTTGGTCCTTCTCTCTCTTCCTTTCTCTCCCATCTCTCTCTGTATGTCCTTTCCTCCTCTGCTCTTCTGCTTCTCCTATGTTTCTCTTTCCCTATCAGAAATATTTGGGGGCAATGGTAAAGAGTGGGCTAAGGATCAGACCCTGGTGTTGGGGCTCTTCAGGGTTCTGGGAAGAGTCTACCTACCCCATCATGGAAAGGGACCTTACTTTCTCTTCTTCCACCTTTTCCTCCCCCATTACACGCTTGCCCCAAGAGAACCAGATTGGTGGGGAGAGGCCATCTAGTGTGATTGTTCCTCCTTGACAATGTAGCAATAAATAGATGCTGCCAAGGGCAGAGAATGGGGGAGTGAACTCAGAGAAGAGTGGTCCCTCAAGAAGGAAAGGGTTTGCTCAACATACCCTTGAGCACTCACTCCTGTTCTGAGTTGCAGCCAACTGAGATTCCTATCTGGCTTCTCCTGAACCATTCTGGTTACTGAGCCCCTTCCCCGAGACTTTCCCCTCCCACTTCTGCGTCTGCTGTGTATTTGATGATACCTCATGAGGACTAGTCCCCCTGGTGGGGTATCAGAGCCTTAGGGTGCCCCCTCCCCTCTAGTCAGCCTTGGTACCCGTTACCTCCCGGAACATGAAGGACTGTGCCCTGAGGCAACTCCGTGCCCGTGAGAGCAGAGACTGGAAGGGCAAGACCAGGTGCTAGGGAGGGGAGAGAGGGGCACCCTGCCTCGCTCCTGACCACCACTGCACTTTAACCAGGGTCTTAGGTACAAAATCCTACTTTTCAGAGCCTTCCAGCTCTGGAACCTCAAACATCCTTATGCTCTCTCCCAGCTCCTTTTGCATAAAAAGAAAAAAGAAAAAAAACCACACACACAGAAACCCACATGGAGAAAAGAGGTGTTTCCTTTTATATTGCTATTCAAAATCAACATCACAAGAAATAAAAAATAATTTCTAAAAAACCACTTTTCCAGACTTTTTGTTCTTTTGTGTGTCAGTGTCCAAGCTGCGGGTGGGATTTTGTAATACTTCTGGCAGCTTCTTTCCTTGTGTACATATTATATAGATATATATAGATATATATAGATATATTTTTAATCAGAAGTTATGAAGAACAAAAAGAAAAAACATACAACACAGAAGCAAGTGCAATACCACCTCTCTTCTTCTCTCCCAGGGTTTCCTTTGTAGCCTGTTCAGTGTTTCCTTCGGCCCTGGCCCCTTCACCTCCCCTCTTTCTCTGGTCCTCCCTCCCTGTTTTTTAAAGAGTTTTCCTCCTACCTTAAGGGGAGTTAAACTAGCTTTTGAGACTTATTGCAAAGCATTTTGTATATGTAATATATTGTAAGTAAATATTTGTGTAACGGAGATATACTACTGTAAGTTTTGTACTGTACTGGCTGAAGGTCTGTTATAAATAAACATGAGTAATTTAACACCCCTGGTTGTTTTTGCAGACTTCCTTTCCTAGGTTTTCTACGGGGGGGGGGGGGCTTGCAGCCCATGGTACCCACTAATCAATTTAGGAGGTAAACAAGAGTAAGACAGAGATGAAGCCAGACACATGTGCTCAGGTTGTTGGTGCAAAAGAACAGACTGTTCAGCCTGGAATGGGAAGTGGAGACTTTCCTAGCAGAAGTGTCTTTGGGATGACGGGAGAAAGCTGACTTACCTATCTATCCAAAGCAGAACTGTTAGCAAACTATTTTTTCTTTTTTTGGTGGTATTGAGCCCAGGCCCTGATTCATGCTAAGCAAGTACTCTGCCACTCAGCCACACTCTAAGACCCAAACTTTTGTTGAGTATCTATTATGTTCAAATCACATTGCCCAACTGGCTGAGGCAGGAAGGTCCTTGCAAGACCAGCCTGGGCTACAAAGTGAGCCATGAGCGCAAGGCCAGCCTGAACTGCATAGTGTGACTCCATCTCAAAAAAAAAAAAGACAAAACCCTTTGCCCAAGGAGATACAAGTTACAGTTACAGGAATGATGATGACAGAATCTATCACTTGAGCATCTCAGAGATACCAAGTCTTCCTTTAATTGATACTTTCTTTTAAGAATGATAATTGTAGGGCCGGGGAGATGGCTCAGTGGAATAAGTGCTTCCCTGGCAAGCGCAAGGACCTCAGTTCAATCCCCGGTTCCACAAAAAAGAAAAAAAAAAGAATAATTGTTGGTAAAGAAAACTCCAAGGGATAAAATAACTTGTCCAAAACCTGTCAGTGAGCAAGAGAGTCAGAATTTAAATCCAGGAGTGTGTGACTCCAAAGCCTGCCCTTCCCTTTAGGCCAAGAGAAAGCAGTGAAACTCCCAAGCTATTAAGATCCAAACAGCCAGGTGTGCTGGTGCACAACTATAATCTCAGCACTCTGAGAGACTGAGGCTGGAGTACTTAAAGTTTGGATACAAAACTTGGGCAATTTAGTAACAGATTTTGTCTCAAAAAAATCAAAACAACAAAAAAAGGCTGGTGATGTGGCTCAGTTTGAGTTCAATCCCTAGGACATCAAAAATTAAAACAACATACCAGTGTACTTATGTCATAAATCTTGTGTTTTAGTTTGTATTTATGCATATTTGTATTAAAGTATGTACCCATTACCAGTGTAAAGTATATGTCTATGTATCTGGGTCAAAATTAGTTAAAATCACTGGCCCAAGCTATATCGCTATCCATTTGTTGGCCAAATGAGAAATAGCAGAGTATAAGGACTCCCTTGCTAGCTTGGGGTACCTTGAACAAATAATTTATCAACATTTTTTCTTTTTCTTTTTCTTTTTTTTTTTTAACTTTTTTCTTCTTTTGGTACTGAGGATTGAACCAAGGCTTTACTTGTACAAGGTAACTGCTCTACCACTGAGCTACATCTCCACCCCTTTTTCACAGCAAACAAGAAATGCCCTAAGGCATCTTCTGGCCTCAAAAAAAAAAAAAAA